GCCTGCGCCGTCGTGTAAGCCGCTATTACTACATTTGTCATTGAAGAAGGTACGAGCGCCTCTTGTCGCCACGTGACGTAGATCACGTCGTCGTTTACAGGCAAAATATTTATTATTTCATGCTCGGGACTTGTGAGCAAAGATAATAAATGTTCTCGCGTTCTAACAATCTCTGTATTCGGTAGATTAGAACGTTGACCGAATTTTCCCCAGAAGGAATTCAGACACAACTTTGCAACCGAGCGTAGACCGGGATTCCACGCTATATTACACCTATCGAGAACAATTCCCTCAATTTCTTTATACTCCCTTAAATAATTTTCTTTTGCGTTCTCGTCGTTATTCTCGCATTCGTTCGGCCAACCGCTGGCCTCCTGCTTAAGCTGTAGGAAACAATTAATATATTCGGCAAACAATCCGCCCTGCCGTGTACTAGGATCGTATCGTGAGATTTTATAATTCCATATTTCGCTCACAGATGTCACACGATAACCTTTCTCAATGGCTTTTCGTAGTTCGCAAGAGACCCAAGTGCCTTCGAATTCACGATCGGCTGGATTCTCATGTGTACACGCTATTTGAGAAAATGTTTCACAGCAGCTGCGACAGAGTGCGAACAATAATTTACCTTGCGTGCGAAACGGTAGTACGAGGTGAAAGAGTTCACGTGGTGCGAGTACTCTGCATTGTACGAGTCCTTCCACCGTAGTAAAATTAAAATCAGGAGCCACACCGATTAAGTTGGAACACTCTTCACCCACGTAAACTTCCGGATGTCCGATCAGAAAAGCGCCTGTCTTCAGCACATAGGGGTATAGAGAGCATACGTCAACGTAACGTATCTTCTCATCCCCCGTAACTTCGTACTGCGTGACGATATTCCCTGTGCGACCCCTGAAGAATGCGTCGCGAGGATCGAAGGGCATGGTTCGTAGCATTGGGTGATTTTCTACAAAATCACGCATCTCCTGATTCTCACGCAGCTCTCGATTGAAGACGCATTCCCATTTCTCCGTAAGGAAATATCCCTGTTTTTGAAGACGACTTGACGTTGAGAGTGTGCGTTCGTAGCGTGCGTCGATCGTATCCGTGTGTACACTGGTCGAGAGTGGTCTATCGCGGTTCACTCGAAAGCATGCAGGACATCCATGCCAAAAGCACCCGTGAAATTGTAGAACATGTCTTCGCGGTGGATTTTCCGACTCGTAATAGCCGTCAATTAATGTACCATCTGATAAACGTTGTTCCCGTCCTCTACCAGCATGAATTATAACGCGCCCGAGTTCGCGTTCCTTCCACAGCAACCATTGAAGAGCTTTATCCGATTGATTATTACCGCGTCTGTAACCCCCCGTCGGAATGATACCTATCTCTTTCTCACGCAAAATGTTTTTCCGGAAAACTCGCATACAAGTGGAAGCGATGGTTGTACATTCTTCGAAGGGACATACTTTTCCCCGTTCCAAAAAAATGTTACGAAAGGCGAGACATGCGCGACGAAGAATATCCACGTCGTTGCGACAATAGACCAATATCTCTCGTTGAAAATCGAACTCGACGTTTTTACTAACCATCTCCGCATGCCAGGCTAAAAACTCTTCACGTTCATCCGGTTTCATCGTATCTGGTGAGAAATACCGAATATCCGGTAATGGGCCGGTGTAATATTGGTTTTCGACGATATTAAATAAATGAGGGAATAATCCTTTGCCTGAAATACCCTCCAACCCGAAAGCTTTTGGTAACATTGACAAACGCATCGGCATATAATTAATGCTGTCTATGAATTTAGTTTGACCAACGGTTAATAGTATAATTTTCGTACCATTTAAAATAAGTTTTGGCTCAACGTAGTTGTTACCTTTCGACCAGGTAGCGGAGAATAAATTGAGAGTCGAACGCGCTAGCGTTCTGTGCTATGCAAATGATCTGTTTGAAGCTCTTCGTTGGTCTCGTGACAAAATCGACAAATTGCTTCACCGGATCATTGCGAAATATTAATTCGCGCACGCCGTACCAACGACAACGCACCGTCATGTCGTCTATCTCCATACAGGAACCACATATTTGCTGTGCGACACAAAGTGTAACCACGTGCGTTTTAACATTTTCGCTGCCTTCGACCACATCACCCTGCCGTATCTCAAAATCATAAAACACAAATGCGACGCGACCTTTCTCGCGTTCGCTCGTTTCTACGTTCTTATTATTTTCATCCTCCGTTTCAGTTTCAGTTTCACTAGTATTTTCCGCTCGCGTTGGATTTTTCGATAATCTGTCGGTGTGACGAAGCGGGCGCATGAAACAGAGGTGGTTCAGTGGTTTTGACGACGCGCAAATATGACAATAAATCATACCACATTTATGTTTTTTTCTTGAGTTTTGTAAATGACCGCATTTATTGCAAATCCGGAGAATGCTACAGACACTCGATGTTGTCTCGACGTTGTATGACTTTGGGGCTCGATGTCGTTCGAAGCATGCGCTACCGTAAAACGCCCGTTGACACATGCTACAATGGATTAGTTGAACCGTTTCTTCACACGACGGAACGGCGAAACACCGGAGACACGCATTTGAACACCGATGTCCCCTTTCAGGTTTATATCCACGGTTGCAACGAACGCAATAGCCCCTACTACCACTAGCAGCTCTTAAATTCAATATTGGATTAAAGTGGCGACTGCGTTCGTAATACATGATATTTAGTTTATGTCTAACCGCGCGACCTAGAGAGACGAGCACCCTGCTGCCATCGTATAACGGTGGCGCACCACGAGCAAAAGAGCTAAAATTATAAACAGTGATCGTCGTATCGTACCTTGCGAGATGGAGTTGGAAACGTTCGAACTCTGGAATGTTACATCCTTCATCGGGTATAGAAACGCCAGCTTTCCGCGTGAGTTCGAGTGCTAGCTCTCGCTGCATCACAGAATTCTGTTTTCTCACAGTATTCCATTTTGCGTGAAGCTCCCCAGTGCGCACATTCCCGCGTTCGCTATAAATCATTGCAACTACAAGCGAACGCGGGAAACATAGATTATCTATATTGTTTATAATAAGGATCGAACGTTTCGCAACCCCTTCATGCGTTAATTTGTTCGGTTTTGCGCCTTGCCCCGAAGGTAACGTGACATTGAAAACATTAACTGTAAAATGCTCCAGTATATCGTGACCTCCAGCGCTTTGAACTAGCGAGCTCACAAGATTCCAAATATCTCCATAGCTCAAGTCACGTGCTGGGCGAAACGATAAACCTGCAGGTCCCCGAGTTAAGTCTGCTGAAGCAAACGATAACCCGACGTAGTCGTTTAGACCGACCGAGTTAACAGCGTAGGCATAGATTTCGCGGAAAGCATTTTCAAGGTAAAGCACAATATCGTTATCGTCGGGGGGAGGCCTAATTTTGATGCGCGTTTCCCTACCGAGAATATTAAATTTTCTAAATTTACGCATCCTTTCACCATAAATTTGAATAAATTTATAGTCGGTCTCGCTAATATTAGCTCTAATTAGGGTGATTTCCGGTGCGTTCGATTGTTCCCCTCCTTCTCCTACAACGTCCTCCTCTTCTTTTTCGTTGTGCTTGTCTACGTCATGGAAATCTGACTGTTCGCCCCCACCACCCTGTTGCACTGTAAAAATTTAATTTTAATTTTCTTAAATTTTACGCATGACGCGTAGAAATGAATTACGAGTTCAATATCACCCTACCTAAGTGATAGTTTTCGAGCAAGAAACGAATGTCGAAGGGCTTGGCGTGGAGACGGCTGTGTTGTGCCTCTTCAGCCGATGCTTCCTCAATATCATGCATCTCCTCATGGGTTGTGTAATTAGAGACTGCTGATGAACTGTGGGCAGTGTCATTCCTCAACGTTTCTTCTACTTTTTCGTTGTTGGAATGTCATAATGCGGGCGGTGAGATTGTCTGTTCAGGGAAAAGCTCTTTCGATGCTCTTCGTTTTCGAGAGAAGCATTGAGAAAGACTGAACGAGAGAAAAGATAAAAGTTAATGGGAAAACCGACGACAATATGAATTATTTCTTATGTTGCTTTAGGAGTGAATAATAAAAGACTTACGATGAAGTAAGGAACATGTCACGGACGTGGTTACCGATGTCTGGTTCATTTTCTCTGAACAATCTTCGAGCTTCCACAATATCCACAGCAATTTCATAAAGTCTCTGATCGCTTTTAAAATGCCCACATGCAAATAGCATTCCCAGCAGAGTACTACTGCATGAGGCCGCGAAACTATAAAACGTTAAATAATTGCACTCATCGTTATTAGCCACGAGTTCGCGCAAATACCTCTCGCGTTCGATGAGAGGATTTATAATCGATGCCACGATAATACACTCGCGAACGGTTTCAACGAGCAACGACATCTTCTCAACACTTTCTTCGATATTACTTAAGCAAATGTTGCAATACGCGTCTGTTGTTGCGGAGGAACTGAACGAAAAGACGAAAGACGGTGTCTTCGTCAGCTTTTCCTCTACTCTATTTTCTACGCTTTTAAAATTTTCTCCAAATCATATCTTCGAAAAGTAAAGATGAAAAAAATTATCGGTAATAATCTCCTTTTAGTGAAGCCCTAACGATTCTTTTAATGTAATCTTAATGGTAAATTCTCCCACACACGTAGCACGTATATCTAATCTAACATAACAATAACCTAATATAACGAGGTATATCTAATCGTCCCCGGAGAAGCGGTTTCAGAAACTGTATGTTATCGATACAGGGACTTATCTACCATCTTAAGTAAACGTTAATGATACAACTTTTGTATATCATTTTGAAAAAGATAAGTAGTTGTAGACCTTTTATGCCTGCGCATCACCACCCCCCCACTACTTTTTTCTATTCTCTACGGGGAAAGCCATACGGAGCTGAGACTGGTGAAGCATTCGAGCTCCGTTGCTTCTACTTGCAGCATAGCTAGTTCTCGTTATTACAAGTTCTTTACAAGTTATTTACAAGTTCTTGGAAGAAAAATGTCCTGTGCTAACGTGGACACCGCTCTCAAGAAGACGTCGAAGAAGACGAGCAGTCTCTCTACAGAAGTCGGAAACAACCGTAACATGCTTCTATGTACGACGTACGCGCTCAACAATTCGGACACTAAGAAGATGCAGGTTGGATTGCGCACCACGTACGACATGGGTCCATTTGAGCCAACGATCAGGATCATGGGGAACACGTCTTCAGGAATTCTCCTTGATTTGAATACGTGGGAGAAGTTTAAAAACGTTATACCCTCTGCAAATTCTTATTTGTGTGGGGAAAATAAGAATACACCAACCCCTATCATCATCAACAATATCAGCATCAACTTTACCTCAGCGTACAGTGCACGAGCTGTAATACTGAGTCAGCGAGGGAAAATGCTGGACGAGAGCGGACCTGCGAAGAAGACATCGGAGGAGTCTACGCATCTGAAGCAACCGCCGCTGAAGAAGCGTAAGCTGTATACGGAGAATATTATAATGCAGAAGACATCTTTCGATGGTCTGCAAACTGTCACAAAATGTATCGACACCCGATACGAGCAGTTACAAGCGGTTACCGCTCTTGTGAGTAATTGTAAATGTATTTTAGTAGCCGAAATAGAACTTAATCTCACGAAGGAAGGTGTAAACGAAGATTTCGTAAAACAGATGCTCGTTGATAAATATCGCCAAATCGAGGAAAATGTACGACGTCAAATGAAAAATTTACAATTTTTAGACACATATTTTAATATTGTATTCCGTGAATTGACTACGATTCATTTAAATGAAATTATACACGAGATTATAACAAACGCTCAATGCTACGAGTGTTTGCAAAGCTATGAATGTAACTCCAAAAAATAAAGTGTAAATTTATTTTATAAAAATGTTGTATATTCTTTTCTCTCCACCTCTTTTCTCTTCCCTGCGATCTCCAATACGTTGTAACAAAACCTAACTTAACTTAATTTTTCGAGTTCGAAAGCGAAGGGGACACACAAGTAAAAATATTCAGGGGGTATGTATAAACTGGTAGTATCGTTTTCCAACAATAGCTTTATGTAACTTCAAAAATAAATTCGAATTTATTTTATAAAAATGTTGTATATTTCTTTCTCCCCATCTCTTTTCTCTTCCCCAGCGATCTCCAATTCGTTGTAACAAAACCCAACTTAACTCAATTTTTCGAAAGCGATGGGGGGGGACACACAGGTAAGTAGTACGGTGGTAAGACGGCTTAATTCGAGAGTCAGAGGCTCCGGTTCGAATCCAACAGAGGGCCTTACAGGGTTTTTCAAAACTTGTGACGTCAATACTTTCCGTATATAGACGATATAGCCAGTTTCCATCAAGGTATAACGGTGGCATAGTGGTAAGACGCGTAACTCAAGAGCCCAGAGGTCCCAGGTTCGAATCCACCAAGACCTACAGAGTTTTTCTAAAACCTGTGACGTTGATACTTTACCGTATGTATGCTATATAACTAGTTTCCATCAGGGTATTCCAGCAGGTAGCGTATAGTGGTAAGACGGCTTAATTCGAGAGTCAGAGGCTCCGGTTCGAATCCAACAGAGGGCCTTACAGGGTTTTTTCAAAACTTGTGACGTCAATATTTTCCGTATGTAGACGATATAGCTAGTTTCCATCAGGGTATAGCGGTAGTGTAGTGGTAAGACGCGTGACTCAAGAGCCTGAGGTGCTGCCAGGTTCGAATCCAGCAAGACCTTACAGAGTTTTTTTCTAAAAGCTGTGACGTCGATACTTTCCGGTATGTAGACGATATAGCTAGTTTCCATCAGTGTTTTAGCGGTAGCGTAGTAGTAAGACGCGTGACTCAAGAGCCGAGGTCCCAGGTTCGGCACACAGCTCCACAGAGTTTTTCCGCAAATGCAATATGCAAATTAAGTAGCTGATCAAGAGTCAGAATTGTCAAACTCTCTAATAATTGACGGTCATAATTTGCTTATTTCAAAAGTCGATTAGTTTTTGCCTGTGGGCAGGTATGGCCCGTCAAAAAATTCCCCCTCCACTCGACCCGCCGGCGCCGGTGGACGTGGTTTAATGGCGTCGGCGGGTCGAGTGGAGGGGGAATGTTTTGACGGGCCATACCTGCCTACATACTACTATTATGTCTAGCCATGTGTAGTATGGGCGATTGATGTTACAGCGGTAGTTTAGATGGCATGATCCATTGTTGGACATTACCATCGGCTAACATTGATGCGTACGACTCATACAAACCAAATGTCCTTAGTCATACATTAACGGCACACAAATGCTGTCTGGGGCTTGAGCATGTTTTATGTAAATGAAACATACATTTTCCGGTTGATCCAACGTCGTTGAAGTTTGGAGCGTTCTTGGAGCGAAAATTGAAAATAGCTTTTATTTAACAAAAAACCACTTAAAAATAAATGTAAATACATATGAAAGATAAATTTGTGTTAAATATGACATGACATTATAAGAAAGTTGTAATTCCCGAAAATTACGCACATATAATCATTCATACAGATTATAATTATTTCCGGCACTCACAGCGCTCTGTGCCAAAAACTGACAATGCTTCCCATATGACACTCTCTGGCATGTGGGAAAAAAGAAAAAAGTTAGTTTAATAGCAATATCGTCCCGGAATACTTTCGTTCTCCCCGAAAATGGTGAGCATACCACCACACTCAGACAGATTATAATTATTTCCGGCAGTCACAGCGCTCTGTGCCAAAAACTGACAACGCATTTTCACTCTTTGGCATGTGGGAAAATAGAAAAAAATTAGTTTAACAGCAATATCGTCCCGGAACACTTTAGTTCTCCCCGAGAATTGTGTGGATACCACCACACTCAGGCAGATTATAATTATTTCCGGTAGTCACAACGCTCTGTGCCAAAAACTGACAACGCATTTTCACTCTCTAGCATGTGGGAAAATAGAAAAAAATTAGTTTAACAGCAATATCGTCCCGGAACACTTTCGTTCTTCACGAAAATGGTGAGCATACCACCACATTCAGACAGATTGTAATTATTTCCGGCAGTCACAGCGCTCTGTGCCAAAAACTGACAATGCATTCTCACTCTCTGGCATGTGGGAAAGTAGAAAAAAATTAGTTTACAGCAATATCGTCTCGGAACACTTTCGTTCTCCCCGAATATTGTGTGTATACCACCACACTCAGACAGATTGTCATTATTTCCGGCAGTCACAGTGTTCTGTGCCAAAAACTGACAATGCATTTTCATTCTCTGGCATGTGGGAAAATAGAAAAAAGTCAGTTTAATAGCAATTTCGTCCCGGAACATTTTCATTCTCGTCGTATTCCGGAACAAAAGAGTTCCGGGACGATATTGCTGTTAAACTAATTTTTTTCTACTTTCCCACATGCCAGAGAGTGAAAATACGTTGTCAGTTTTTGGCACAGAACGCTGTGACTGCCGGAAATAATTATAATCTGTCTGAGTGTGGTGGTATGCACACAATTCTCGGGGAGAACGAAAGTGTTCCGGGACGATATTGCTGTTAAACTAATTTTTTTCTACTTTCCCACATGCCAGAGAGTGAAAATGCGTTGACAGTTTTTGGCACAGAGCGCTGTGACTGCCGGAAATAATTATAATCTGTCTGAGTGTGGTGGTATGCACACAATTCTCGGGGAGAACGAAAGTGTTCCGGGACGATATTGCTGTTAAACTAATTTTTTTCTATTTTCCCACATGCCAGAGAGCGAAAATGCGTTGTCAGTTTTTGGCACAGAGCGCTGTGACTGCCGGAAATAATTATAATCTGTCTGAGTGTGATGGTATCCACACAATTCTCGGGGAGAACTAAAGTGTTCCGGGACGATATTGCTGTTAAACTAATTTTATTCTATTTTCCCACATGCCAGAGAGTGAAGATGAATTTCCAGTTTTTGGCACAGAGCGCTGTGACTGCCGGAAATAATTACAATCTGTCTGAATGTGGTGGTATGCTCACCATTTTCGGGGAGAACGAAAATGTTCCGGGACGATATTGCTATTAAACTAACTTTTTTCTTTTTTCGCACATGCCAGAGAGTGGCATGTGGGAAGCATTGTCAGTTTTTGGCACAGAGCGCTGTGAGTGCCGGAAATAATTATAATCTGTATGAATGATTATATGTGCGTAATTTTCGGGAATTACAACTTTCTTATAATATCATGTCATATTTAACACAAATTTATCTTTTATGTATTTACATTTATTTTTAAATGGTTTTTTGTTAAATAAAAGCTATTTTATTTTCGCTCCAAGAACGCTCCAAACTTCAACGACGTGTTGATCCATTATTTATAAAATTTGGTGTACAATAGTTTTTTGGGTCGCTGATCACGAATCCGAGGTCAGAAAAAAATGACTTTTTCTGCTCTTTGTTTATTTATAAAACTTGCAATAAATAATAAGTCCTAAACTATTTTTTATATTATTCTATCACTAAGGTAGCGGTAAAATACAAAACAACCAGTCAACCACAAATGTGTTAGTTGGATAATAAACTGCCAAATAGTAACCCAGATAGCCAAACCTGCGCGAGCAGATTTCGAACAAAGCCTGCTATCATAGTTTGATGGCAAATAGGCAACAAATTTAACGCAGAATCTGTTATATCAAATTATACCGCCAATCTGCGGTCAAATATGCGCCAGATCCTGTTGTCAGATATTTGACGGCAGATTTGTACCAAAAATCGCGCAAGACTTGCAGTAATTTGACAGCAGATTGGAGGCAGAAACTGAGCAAACTCTACGCGCAGACTCTACGCGTAATTTGGCAGCAGGACCTGCGCGGTTTCTGCCGACAATCTGCTCGCACGGCCTGTCATACAGGTCCTGTCGACAAAACACGAGCCTAATGAGGACATAGATGGCTATGGTTTTGATCTGGAGATCTGATCGAAATTGGCGTCAATCTGCGCGCATTCTGTTAGCATTTTGCTTACTGGGAAAGAAGAACGTATAATTAATATAGTAAAACTTCGTTAACCCTTTGATGCATGGTGGTAACGTACGTTACCACCATGCATCAAAGGGTTAAGGAAGTTTTACTATATTAATTATACGTGATCAAATAATGTCACTGATACTTACGAACAGTTGTTAACGATAAATTCTTGAAAGAAAGAAAAAAGAAAAAGGATATAGTTTTGATTGAAATTTATGGATTGTATTTATATAGTTAAAAATTAAATTAATAGTTATTGAGAAATATCATCTTTATAATATATATGAAGAATAAAGTTATTATTGATGTCTTCCCTAAACACGAATTATACCTATTTAACAAATAATTTAACTAATGTTGCATCTTACAATAGCAATTTTTATATTATAATTACTTTTAAATATAGTAAATTTATATATCCATACAAATGCACCATTTTAACTTTCTACTTTTTGACATTTATTGGGTTGGCAACTAAGTCATTGCGGATTTTAAATAAGAATGAAAATTCAAAATTTTTAATTTGCTTTTTTAAATTTTTTTCAATGCATGTATGCGATACATTGAGCTTCTTTGCAATATCACGTGTTGTGCTATGACGATCTGAATCGATAATGGCCTTGATATGGGTCTCATCGACTTCAACTGGACGGCCAGATCGTTGAGCATTTTTCAATGAAAAATCACCAGAACGAAATGTGGCAAACCAGTTTTGATACTGCCTTTCTTTCAAGGCTTCATTCCTATATACGGCACATAACTTCTTGTGTGCTTGCGATGCGTTCTTGCCTTTTCGGAAATAATACAATAAAATATGTCTGAAGTGCACGTCTTGCTCTTCCATTTTTAAATTGGGATAAAAACAAAACTAAAGAACTAATCGATATAATTTTTGTACTAAATGAAAGGTAGAAGTCCAAACAATAAGAAAAAAATATAGATTGGTACTTTGAACACGTTAACGAAACAAAAGAAAGTGTAACATCCATCTGTCGACAAAATCCGCAATCACTTAGTTGCCAACCCAATAGTTCAAGATATAAAAATTATTCTATGATATAATTTGTCAGGTCTTGAAGAATATTTCATATGATAAAAATCAAAATTTCAGGAAGAACTTGCGGCAGTTTCTAATGTCTCTACGAGGGGAAGATAGTTTATTTTGCATGCATGCCAATGGTAAAATTGACATGCGTGGCACATACTGTGCTCTAGTTTCTGCAAAATTAACAAATGTGTACACTCCAGACATATTTAGAGGCACAGAAGAGTGGATAGCCAAGTGTCAGACATGGGAGGGTGGGTTTGGAGGTTGTCCAGGGATGGAGGCTCATGGTGGATATGCGTACTGTGGCTTAGCAGCATTCGTGCTTCTTGGGAAAACATATATGTGTCGTTTACTAGCACTCTTAGTAAGAATTACATAAGTAATACAAGAAAGTATGGAATTACTGATAAGATCCTAATAAGGTCTTTATTTTTATATTTGTTTACAATATTATTGGGTGAGTGCAAAAGTTCGTGCGGAGTTTGTGAGTAAAAGTCACACAGTGATTAGGCAAACAAAAATCTTTATTCAATCAATGATATATTCTCCATCGTTTTCTATAATCTTTTCCCAACGTTCTGGCAGCATACGGATGCCTCGATCATAAAAACTGCGCGGTTTAGATTCGAAGAACGAAGAGACGCCGTTTTTTAAGGCCTCCAAAGAGTCAAAGTTTTTTCCATTTAAATAATTTTGCAATGACCGGAACAAGTGATAGTCAGATGGTGCGATATCAGGAGAATACGGTGGATGCGTTAAGACATCCCATTTCAGGTTCTTCAGTTTGCGCAGCGTCTTTTTCGAAACGTGTAGTCTGGCGTTGTCGTGATGAAAGACGACTCCCTTGCGATTTGACAAAATCGGACGTTTCTCTTTTATTTCTCGATTCAGATTGGTTAATTGGCAACAGTACTTGTCCGAATCAATCGTTTCGCCAGCGGGGAGAAGCTCGAAATAGATTATGCCCTTGCAATCCCACCAAATAGAGAGCATCATCGGGTGCAAACTGGCCTTTGGCATTGCGTCACCATGCTCACCTGATTGTTTCCATGTCCGTTTGCGCTGAACATTGTTGTAGAGGACCCATTTCTCATCGCCCGTCACTAGTCGATCCAAAAACGACTCGTTATTGAGCCGCCCGAGTAAAGAAACGGCTGCAGAAATTCGCTTGATTTTGTTCTTCTCGGTCAGCAAATGGGGCACCCATATATCGAGCTTCAAATCGAATCCCATCTTTTTTAAACGCCGAAAAGCGGTTGATCGGTCAACGTTTAGTGCTGTAGCAACTTCTTCTGTTGAAATTCGCGGATTATTGAGCACTAAAGTACGCAAAACATCGTCATCAATGTCAGAAGGTCGACCAGAGCGTGGCTCGTCTTCAAGGTTAAATTCTCCGCGCCGAAATTTAGCAAACCATTTTTCCACAGTTCGTTTAGCTGGTGCTTCATCCTGATAAACATCCTGAATGTTTTTTACGGCTGCGGCAACGTTTATTCCCTTCCGAAACTCGTAAAGCATAACATGCCGTAAATGCACCTTATCGATACTCATTTTTAAAGTGATATTTCTCGAAGCAGTTTGTATGAAAACAAATGATTTTTTTTTTAATAATAGCTGAAGACGTCACCTTTCCAACGTTATATAATATGTAGATGGAAGTATTAATGACAACACTTTACGACGCTTATAACTCCATCTATTGAAACTCCGCACGAACTTTTGCACTCACCCAATATATATAAAGATATATATCTATGTATATTTTATTTATTTATTTTTTTCTTTTTTAGAAATGGATAGTAAATAAGCAAATGCGTCTAGAGGGTGGTTTTCAAGGACATATCAATAAACTGGTGGATGGTTGTTACTCATTCTGGCAAGGTGGAGCATTCCTATTGATTCATGCTATCTTGTCGAAAGAAAAAGAAGAGTATAATTCCAATTACTGGTTGTTCAATCAAGCCTTACAAGAGTACATATTAGTTTGTTGTCAGCATCCACTAGGTGGTCTTCTGGATAAACCGGGAAAGTATGACTTGTGTCCATTCATATCAGTGATTATATTACTATTATTGAATTTATATTAGCGGTTACATCATAAAAATAAAAAATTGTATCTTATGTAACCAGAATAATTTGCGATAATTGCAAAATAACATATATCGTGATAACGTTGCATTTCATCATTTTTCTTTGTTTTTTCCAGAAACCGAGACCTATATCATACATGTTACGCTCTAAGTGGATTATCAGTTGCATAAAATTCACCACGTTCATCGATCGTTGGATCAAAACTAACAAATTCAGTGGCGATTATACATCCAGTCTACAACTTGGTAGTCTCTCTCCTCCGCTACAAATTGTTAATATGCGATATTGACACTTGCAATAAAAAGCTATAGACATTAAACTTAACATTTATCGTAAAGTGTTATTGATCAGCAAAATAAATATTAGCAAAACAAATAACGTAAGTATCACTGTAATATCAATGATAATGTCATTTAACAAGTTCAAATATAAGTTTAATATAATGTTGTACCATATTTATACTGATTCGTATTTTTTCATCGAATGTCATTGTTTGAAGTGATATATTGCAACGATTTGTAATTTATGCAAGCACATATAAACTTTTAAACTCAATTAAAATCATCTCCATTATGCACCTAGAAATACTATTGTAATTAATGGATTATTATTTTATTCATCGAGTTATTCTTATCAGATTATGGATTTGGAGTTTGATGATATATTAGATAAGAAAAAGATTAGAAGTTATGAGGAGATTTTGGAGCAAAAGCAAGATAAAGGATTTAAAACTGTAACCACAATCGGACAAGTGTGTCCTTACATAAATATACAAGCATATAATTTACTTTAATTACTTATTTTTTACTTATATTCATGATACTATAATATAATGTTAAAATTCATATAAGCAATGTTTCATTTAAATAAAATATATTCAAACTTTCAGAATCGTATTAAAGATGATGTGCTTACATTATATCAATTATGCAAAGAACCAACTTTAATTAAACAGAGGCATATTAGTTTTTTAAAGAAATCAATCAATAATTTAAGTGGGGCTTATGAGGTATTTGTTTATTTAATATCAAAAATACAATTTTATGAATATATTATACAAGTAAAAGTTGATATATTATTTTTATATATGACAATTCAAACATAACAGTATATCTTGAGTATTTATAATTATAGTGTTTGGACTGCAGCAAACCTTGGCTGTGTTATTGGATATTGCATTCACTTGAAATATTAGGAGAACGTTTGGGAGACGAGGAATATTCCAAGATAGCAGGCTTTCTAGCTAAGTGTCAATCACCCGAAGGTAGTTTTGGAGGTGGCCTAGGACAATATCCACATTTTAAAAAAAGGTGGCGATTCTTCAATTTCTGTGAGGAGATTTAATTCATTTAATACTTCTACCTCTGCATCTATATCAACACCTTCCGTTAGAAGGGGGATAGATGCCTGAAAAATAAGAAATTATGTTAACAAATAGCGTGAACAATATCATTAAAATGCAAGATGATAGTAAGCGTTACGTTATTTGGTTTGATATCTGGTATCTGGTATCTGTATAAATTTCATCGTCTCCATCTCCTTCTTCCTCTTCCATGTCCATGTCTGTATGTCTCAAAAATTCAAAATTCGCTATAACAGCTGCTTCTGTAATATCATTGCTTCTGCTATAGAAGATGGCTGTTGCTAGAACAATAAATCATATATAAATGTATAACAGAATCGTAACTATCATAATGCAGCTTAATTCTCTTAATTAAGTTCGTATTTTACCTTTCTCGGATGTCCTCCGGAGTATAAGACTTACATCGGATGATTTTTATCTGTTCTGTGTTCCCTCATTTCCATTTAATACTGGAGTATTCATTTCATCTGAGTCTGTATTATTATAATATGTCCCACCGCGTATATTTCATTTCTGGCCTTTCGTCGTGAGTCACTGCGCAGGCGTGCTCCACAGGCGGAGCAGTGACTCTCATTCTTCTCGAGTCGGGATGCGTTCCGAAAGTTGCAAAAAAACGGTCACAAACCTTTAAGCCCTAAACACAATGCCAGGTAACAGACAATAAGAATAAAAATAGACCAATCACAATCGACTATTACAAGAATAATCTATTGTAATTGGTCTATTTTTATTCTTACTGCCTGTTGCCTGATATTGTGTTTAGGACTTTATGCTCGCGAGTGTACCACATGTGGCACAATTAAGTCAACGGCACACGATGCTTGTTTTCGTGCTGGATTGCATGCTGAATGAAAATACTGCGTTCTGATTAGTACATTTCCGAAGATGTGTGGAAATGCACCAATCAGAACGCAGTATTTTCATCCAGCAAGCAATTCAACACGAAAACAAGCACCGTGTGCAGTGTGCCGCTGGCTTTAAAGGTCAGTGGCATACAGGCACAATTTAATGATTTGGTGGTACATTATACATTTCTTGTGGCACAAAAGAAGAAAAAGTGATATAATTCCATTTTTAAGTGAAAGTTTTAAATCTTTGGATTCTATGACAAACGTATCGCATTCTACAAGCAGGAGTATATAGTATAACCATGTATTTAGTAATAACCAATAAAGTGGCATTTAAATTATTTGGAGTGCGTTCGGAACTTGCACATTACGGATAAAGTAACTAGCATCGGATTAACCAATAAGAATAAAAAGAGCAAATATCTTTTTATCATGATTGGTTAATTCGATTATTCTACATTCAGGGCCGTATTCATAGTCGGATCTTATATTTAACACCATCTTGAGTTCACGTTCAGATATTCTGTAGCCAATGAAATGATTTATACAGCATCTGAAGATGAACTTAAGACGATCTTAAATATAAGACCGGATTATGAATACTGCTCTCAAAGTAAAGTTTTCGAACATCTAAAGATGCACAAAAAGTGTTAGTTTTTAAGATACATATTTAAGAAATGCAAATATAAGATTAGACAATAAAAACTACTTATAGATTCCTCAGTTCTTATAAAATCTTCAAAATATATTAATTTAGCTCGAATGGCACAAAACGCACTAATGAGGCACACTTTTTGGCACAATCGAACACGATTTTGCTGGCAACACTGGTCATAACATTACTCCACGCCTGAAACAGACAAGGATAGTACAATTGTGTCTGCCTGCAATACCATCGATCATGATTATGCGGAACTAATATACTGTTCTGTTTTATCCAAAAATGTAACAAACACAATTCCGTATGCATTACATTTTTCTCAAACACTATTCTTTTCACACTGACTTCTAAGCTCATTTCTGTTACTTCAGTATTATTCTTTCATATTATGGCTAGTCCGGAAGCAAAAGTTTTTGCATGGATAAACTGCAGAACTTTTATAATTAATAAGTAAAGTTACGAGCTGACACAAAACATGTTAATGAAACTGTAATTTTGTAATTTTTCATTGAATTTTACATAAAACTTTGTCTTCCGGACTTCGTTATTATAAATACTTTCGTCATACAAAAGAATTTTCCAATCTGTCCAGCTAATAAAAAGAATAGTGTTTGAGAAGATTGAATCAATGTGTCGATAAAACAGACGACTCCAGGATCCTCTTAAGGAAGTAGAGTGAGCAAGAACCGTGCACGCTTTGCCGTTATCATCAGAACAGGCGTAGTGTGCATACATTTTCTCAAGGGGCGCGTCGGAAAAAGCGTCTCAGCGTTATCAGCCCGGTGGCTGCTCTCAGGTTACTCTCTGGTTTTACATTAGGGACGCCTTTATACATGAAAACCAGTGGAAGTTATCAGTCTAGCTTATATATATAAGTCTGTGGTAATAATTTGCGCTATAGGATGCGTGTATACGATGATAGCTTGCGATGAATATCGCGATAATCTCGCGAGTATGAACGAATGACGTGATCGTGGAGCATCGTGAGGTTATCACCGTAACACTGTGTATATTGTGCTTCTGTTACTTTTCTCTTCTCTTCCTCTCTTCTTTTCCTTTCTTTTTATTTTACGAGTTTACGGAGAAGAGATGCTGTCGTAATTATGGCACCGTGGATAAAGTTTTTCGAACGTTGTTGCAGAATATTATATTAAATGTTTCTTACTAGCTGGCTAACGGATATAATAGAACACTACACATATAATACTTGCTTCCGGTTTACCGATGACGGCGGCAGGTCTTAATAGACTAAAGGAAGATGATCGACGAGTTATTGGTCAGTTATTGGTTATTATTTGTTTATTGGTGATTGCTGGATATTAGAAGACAATATAGAAATGTTTATATTTGCGATTTAACTTCGTAGATTCATTTTCCGAATTCAACTCAGCAGTTCATAGTTTCATTCGAAAAGTCTTTTCATTCTTAAACGAACTACAAGGAAGTTGCTAACTTTTTTAACATTTATGATTATAACATTTGCGATGATAAAAAATATGTATATTCTTTCATTTTTTTAATTTTTATATTAGTATATAATATATTTCTTGACAACTTTATATAATAACTCTTATGACAACTTTGATATAATATAAAGATTATATTATTGAACATAATAAACATCTAACAGAATTTTAAATATAGTATTCAATGCATTATTTGTTCTTATCTGTTATATTTTTTTATTCAATATAGGTGGCAATATGATGAATATCTTTCTAAGACCTCATATACAAGGTGTACCTATGACAGATGAACACAATTTTTATTATTATAGTCATTAAACAATATATGAAGATTACAAAAATGAACAAGGCAGAAAGTACAGATATTGGCATGGGTTGGCATGAATGTGCCAGCTGGTTGACAAGATGTGGAGCGTTACGAGCAGATCATAAAGCCAACTGGCCACAGGCAACTGCATTTGATTTAGCTTATACATTACGAGATGGTGTATTGCTTTGTAATCTATTAAATACTGTGGACCCAGGCTGTATAGATATGAAGGATGTAAACCAGAAGCCACAAATGGCACAGTTTCTGTGTTTGCGCAATATAAAAGTTTTTTTATCAGCATGCTCAAGCATCTTCGGCCTTCCAGACTCAGACCTCTTTGAACCACCCATGCTATTCGACCTGTCCAACTTTCATCGTGTTCTTTGCACACTCTCTGCCTTGTCTAACTGCTCACGACTTAGACGAAAAGGTATACCGTAAGTATCATAAAAAATTAGATTATCATTAATAAATCACCAATAATTAAGGAATAAAGAGAAATAATTAAATAAATTTTATTTATTGCAGTGGATTTTCAGTTGGTCATGGGCGATCACAGGAGGATATATATAAGGACTTACAAAGTGCTGGTGCAGGGTAAGGATCTATTAGTAGTATATTAATATATTTTATTAATTTATATAAATATGTATAGTTTATTTATAAATATTAATTTGTTCTTTTATTTGAATCTTTCTGTTCTTGAAACTAAAGGCTGAGAACATAATTGCACTATTTAAAAAAAAGAAAATAAGAAAGAAATCTATTTTTTAATAACTTTTATTAATCGATTTAGCGCCACGATCGCGTTGGTGGCGTTTACCATAAAAACTAAGGCCGTGGATGTAGATGAGTCTAAGGTTTATCAAGAATTGCTCTGCTTCTCAAGCAATTCTCAGCATGACTGGCCTTCTGTGGAGAAGGTACATGTTTCATAGTTTCGCAGTTTTATTAAAAGCATCTTACTGGGCAAGTACCAGCCATCACTGTATCTTACAATTTTTTATGAACAAATCAAACCATGTACAACATACTGGACTAGATAAACTGTTGCAGAATATTTCAGAAGAAATGCATTTGAGAAAAGTCAGACAAAAATTATGATTTTGAAGGAGACACCTGATAATGTTACTTGCTTGTCTTATAGTGACCTTGTTAACTTCATGTATAGATTAACTTTAATTTTATAAATTAATTTCATAAATTAAATTTTATAAATGTGAAGATTAATTTTAATTTTATAAATCAAATGACCAAAAAAGTTGTGTGGTTTTGTATATTGAAACTTAAACAAAGGCAGACATTTTTAGAGAGAAAATTTTTTAAATCAGTTCTGTGCAGGCTGTTTTTCTAGCACTTTTTCAAATACTACATATATACTTGTTTTTGCATTTTTTGACCCGAGTTTAAATTCATAAAACAAACTTACTTGAATTAACAGATGTTTTAAAAGGGTATAATTAAGTGATTAATTATTTATTTCATGTATAAAAAATACTGTTATTATTCCTAGTAATTCAATTACTAAGCTTGTGATCACAAGTATTTTATTGTTTAATGTAGTAATAATTAAATACTATTACAAAAAAATACGACTTGCTTAGTAATAAATTAATGTTATTCAGTAGCTTTATTTTTTCTACAATATATTCTATAATATATCGTTTTTTGTATAGTTTCAGAATATACTAGAGAACAAATGTTTGATAACTCTTTGCATCGAACACGAATGAAAACCGCATAAACTTTTTTAACCATCAATAATCATATCTTTTTAATTTGAATCAATTCTCTGGTTATATTTTGCATATAAGATATTCTAGTAAAATTACCAACAAGTGAATACTTTTTGAAATATTTGAAATTATATTTTGATATTTTTTGGTATGAAATATGGAATATCTTGCAAATTATTCGTCTTTTGCAACCATTATTTTAATACTTTTATATTTAGAATAACTGATAAAATTGAGTTTTATAGAAAAGGAATAGAAAAATTTCAAAATTCCTTTATATTTTGAAGATTCATTAATATATTAGTATATAAAGATTAGTATCATCGATCTATTTCCTTTGTTATTCTATGTATGAAAATATTAAAGTATGTAAAAAATACATGATCTTTAAATTTAATTTTTACATGATCTTTGTAAAGTCATTGAAGGTCAAGTGAATAACATCATCGGATATTATTCTTGAAACACTACAACTTCTCTCTGAGCTTTTTCCTCGAATATTTTCTTTTTGAGTTATTAATCCATAACATTTTATTTCGCCCATTCTATATAGCTAGTAATAGTTAGAAATGGTGTGTGTATATGAATACGCGTGCCTATGCATACACAAATATAAATTAACACGTGCCAGAAGGATTAAACGATACATTTTCTGGCTGATTTTCGTGAAACTCTGCCTCGCGTTGTGCCTTTTGCCTTATCCTCTCGTACGCAGCTAACGAGTCGCTCGAACCAAAAGCGTAGTCTTTTCATATTATGTTATAGACCTCATAGAACAGAAAAAATAAGAGGATTTGTGAGTTTTTCCAAAAATATAATATATATCTTATTTTTAGTAATTTTCCATATCACCCATGAAGTACTGTTGCTGACACGTTTATTCTTTAAATCGTATTCCTAATAGGTTTATGAAATTAGTAATTGAAAAAGATTAATTAATTGAACAGAAGTAAAATGAAGGATGAGTAGAAACATAGAATATATATGTATGAAAGAACAATATATCAAATTTTATCTGATTTTTGGAATATTTTAGAAGCGAGAGAAAAAATATCAACATACATGTTAAGAATGGCCACCATCCCACATAAGAATAAAGAATAGTCGTTTAAATGAAAAACGTTTTGCATTTTTAATAAACACGCGCGCGCATGTGTATGTGTGTGTGTGGGTGTGTATGAGTGGTGTGTGTGTGTGCGCGCGCGCGCGCGTGTGTGTGTGTATGTGGGTATGAGTGTGCGCGCGCGCATGTGTGCATGTGTGTGTGTGTTTCTACTCATCCTTCATTTTGCTTCTATCCAATCAATTAATCTTTTTTAATTATTAGCGGGCTAGGGCTCTTAGGGATATGACTTAAAGAAAAAAACGCGTCAACAATAGTACTTCATGAATGATACGGAAAATCACTAAAAATAAATATTCACAATAGAATAAAAGTTTGATAATATGTATTGTGTTTTTGAAAAGATTTACAAGTCTTTTTATTTTTTCTTTTTTATGAGCCTCATAACATGTGAAGGAACTTTTTGACTCATTTTTGACTTAAGTCGCTCGAACAACTCGTTGCACACGAAGTGACAAAGCAAAGGAAGCAACGCGAGGCGGAACTTTCTGAGAATTGGCCGCAGTGCATCGTTTTCTGAGTTTTGCTGTTTTCAAGTTAATTGAAATAAGAACGGTACCAGAATAAAATAAGAATAATGGAACTTTTATAGCAGTTTTAATCCATAATGTGAAAAACAGCACCTTATTTATAACAGGGGAATTTCAAGTTAAATTTCTTTTATCTGTTTAAAGTGATTCATAAAATCTGTAAAAATTCATGAATATACTTTCAAGTTTCCAGAATAAATAAATAAATAAATGTGTATATATATATATATTTCATTATAGAAAATAATAATGTAGTATAATTGAATTATCGAAAATAAATCATAAATTGGATAAAAATGCATGATCTGATTGAAAAAATTGTAACTTTATACATATAAAATATTGCTGTTAACGAATCCCTTAAAATAAAAATAGGATATTTATAATGATTTACATACACTTTTCACACAATGACGACGTTACATACAAATATGGGTTTCTCGAAATTGACAGAGATTTGGACATGTTGTATATAGCTAAATTTCTGACTATCACATAAAGATATCCTTTGCTACAAACTTTATTTAGGTAAAGATAAGAAATGGTTCCTTTCTTAGTTTCAAGAAACTTATATGGATAGAAATCGTTCAAACTTGAAAGACTCACGCTTGTAAGGACTAAAGCTATTTAATATTTTTTATAATTATCGACTATAGATCTTGCAGTGACTCAGTTAAAATTAATGATGTTAATATATATGTTAGTAAATTACGCACATTGCGTATGCGATACAGTGATGACGGCACTGTTTTATTGTTGACGCTAACGTTTTTACACATATATACATACATACATGCGTGCGTGCGTGCGTGCGTTTATATTACGATATATAGGTGTACACATATACATACTACAATAAATGTATATGTATAGTGTCTATTACGCAGATGACAAAGTTTGTGTGTAAATAGAACGAATCAAAATGAGTAAAAAAGTCCTCTTCTATTTGCAATAATCACATAAAATTTCGAGATATCGGTGAAAAAATATTGACAGCGTTATCAGCGTTCAATATCGGATAATAGTGAGAGACTGAGAAAAATTGCAAGCAGCACGTAGACAATTATTTGTCGTAGCATCGAATATTGATTGCTACTAAGAGACATCCGTACAATCAGCTATTTCCTATATGATCACGGCTGTCTTATTGCATCGCGTATGCTGATTTTGTTAATCTTCTTTCACTACTAACTTGAAATATTATATGGTTCAAAAAATTTTTATTCATTTTTATGTCTTATCATACGAGTTTTGTTGTGTGTTGTGACAGACATCTTACATATATACAAGATATATTTGAACATTATCGATAAATTTATAAGGTAGATATATAAAAAGAAAAAAAGTAAACAAAGTCTTAGTAAATATACTCACCCGCAGAAAAAATGGGCCACTAAATTTTAACACAATTTTCTAATACCTTTTAATAGTGATAACTTATTCAAAAATCATCGTATTGAGATGAAACAAAGCTCAAATTAAAACTTGACATTTCTTGTCAACAAACCTAAACCTAAAAGTGAATTATAATAAATATTTTACAAAATGACGGATGTTGAAGATAGACTTTGATTAATGAGGAAAAAAATTTGTTTTTTAACTACTGCTCAGGGGAATCAGTTCTCTGGTACAAAAATGTATGAGGTTTAAAGCTCATTTATTTCCTAACAAATCCATGTTTTAATCATTTTCTACGACTTTTTTTGATAAAGTTATGTCGTTTTGAAGAAAATGTTACAAAATGGACAACCTTTTCTTGTAAAGTTTGCGGTTTAGAATAAAAATTATCATGGAAAACTTTTTCAAGAACGAAATTAACATGTAACTCGATCCAGATGTTCCACGTGGTGATAGATGATCGGATTTAAATTTCATATGAGTGCATACGTGTACATATTCATGCATGCGTGTACCAGGTGTGTCGGTAATTCCTTTCCAGTTTTTTCGCTAAAGAAAACACATTATTTACAATGGATAGTTAAAATATATTTATTCAAAGTATTGGCCATTTGATTCTATACATTTTGCCTATCTCTCAGGCAATTTATGGATGCCATTCCAAAAGAACTGTTTCTCCTTTGAGCTAAACCATTCATCGAGCCATTTTTTAACTTCTTCGAAATCGGCGAAATACTGCTCTGCAAGCGCGTGCCCCATCGATGCGAAAAGGTGGTAGTCGGATGGAGCCAGGTCTGGAGAGTACGGCGGGTGCGATAAAACTTCCCATCCAAGTGATTTCAACACTTCTTTGACTGGTTTTGCTGTATGAGACGGCGCGTTGTCATGCTGCAAAATCACCTTATCATGTCTTTGAGCGTATTGTGGACGTTTTTCGATCAATGCACAGTTCAAATTGATCATTTGTTATTGGTAGCGATCAGTATTAACTGTTTCTCCAGGTTTCAACAGTTCATAATATACGACACCAACCTGGTCCTACCAGACACAGAGTATGGTCTTGCAACCAAAGCGATTTGGCCTTGCAGTCGATGGGCCGCCTTCGTCAGGTGATAACCATGATTTTTTTCGCTTGG